CTTAGAGCTGTCTGCCTGCTCTGCCATTTTATTTGGTAGTGCATTAAATTCCATGTAGGAGTGAAGTCATATGGTACTTGTCTTTCTCTGACTGGCTTATTTCACTTAGCATAATGTTCTCCAGGTCCATCTGTGCTGTCACAAAGGATAAAAATTTATTCCTTTTTATGGCAGAGTAGTATTCCATTGTATAAATATACAACTTTTTTGCCCACTCATCTACTGGTGGACACTTGGGCTGCTTCCAAATCCTGCATATTGTAAATAATGCTGCAGTGAACATATGGGTACATATATTCTTTCAAATTAGTGTTTTGGGTTTCCTCAGATAAATTTCCAGAAGTGGAATCACTGAGTCATAAGGCAGTTCCATTTTAAAATTTTGTTGTTGTTGTTAATCCTCACTAGAGGATTTTTTTTTCCCATTGATTTTTAGAGAGAGTCAAAGGGAGGGAGGGAGTGGGAGAGTGAGACACACACACATTGATTGGTTGCCTCCCACCCATGCCCAACTGGGGCTGGGGATCAAACCTGCAACCCAGGTGTGTTCCCTTGACCTGGAATTGAACCTGTGACTCTTCAGTCCATGGGCCAGTGCTCTAACCACTGACCCACAACAGCCAGGGCCATTTTTAATTTTTTGAGGTAACTCCATACTTCTTCCCACAGTGGTTGCACTAGTCTGCATTCCCACCAACAGTGCACTAGGGTTCCCTTTTCTCCACATCCNCTCTGAAATCAATAGATAAAAATTAAAAAAAATTAAAATAGATTTCTTACCAAATATTTTAGACATACAAAACAAGTTTTAAGCAGTTACTAAGTACTGTCATCCTGCTTTTTATATTGTTTTTCAAACATGACTTTGATTCATAATTCATTCCAAATAAGTGGTCACCAAGAGTTCTTAATATATATTACAGAGTTGAAGGGACGGGGTGTTGTTGTTTTTTTAACAGCTTTATTGAGATAATTAGCATATACAACTCACCAATTGCACAATTTAATGAATTTTAATACATTCACTGAGTACACAGCCATCACCACAATTTTCATCACCCTAAAGAGAAACCCACTACCCACTAGGAGTCATTCTTTTTTTTTTTTTAATCCTCACCCAAGGACATGTTTTTATTGATTTTAGGGAGAGAGAGAAACATCCATGTGAGAGAGATATGCCTCCTGCTGCCCAGGACAGTGCACCAACCGAGCCGCAGGGCAGGAGTATTTTATTTTATTATTTTATTTTATTTTTTCCATCTCCACTTCTCCCCTCTA